CGGGGCAGCTGCGGACCGCGCCTCGGCTCTGCCGCCTTAAACTGGAGTCACCACCCGGCCGGGAACCCCCAGGGGCATTGCCCCATCGCCTCTGAAGAGCCCCACCCCAGAGCCCTGACTTTGGGCTGGGTCCCCGGCTGGGTCCCCAGATGCAAGCCGGTCGACCCTCGGACACTTAGCTCGGCTCCGCACCCCGCTCTCCTCCGGCCCGTTACGTAGACCCCAATTTTCCCTCCGCCCCGGCCGCCATGCCCGATGCTCTGATTGCGCACGGGTCGTTCCACTCTCGAAGCCCCGCTGCCTCTTCCCCACGCAGCGCCGCCGTTCCTGCTGCCTCGGGCTTTGTGTTCTGGTTCCCGGCTCTCCTGCCCCCGGTAACTCCCATCCAGGCGCTGCCTGCCAGTCTCGGATCCCCGGCCCCCTGTCCAGGAGCGGTGTGCCTCTTCCCTGCTCTCTTGGTGCTCCGACCCCTTCCCCTCTCCTAGGTGCCATCTGCCCGGTCTCTGGAAGGTGTCCCTTAGGGATCTGCGGGCGAGAATTGGGGGCTTGACTGTCCCGTCCTAGGATGGTGTCTCTTACAGTCCCCCATTCAGACTCTGATCCACCCACCCCCGTTCCCGCTCTCCTCGGTCCCCGTGGGGACTCCCCACCCAGACGGGTCAACTTGGTGCTCCCTGCCCGGATTGGCCACCCACTACCTTTGCACCACACCCACCTCTTCTACCCTGTTCTCGGACGCCTCTTGCAGGTAAGGCCCCTCTCTACAGGTGTCGAGGCAACGCTAAGCTACGAGCACAAGTCCGGCCTTTGGGAGAGCGAGAGGGGTCAAGAGGGCTCGGGCTCCCAGTCTGATCCGAGCTAAACCTGCCCCAAGGAACTGCCAGGGCGGGAGGATGGAGCCCCGGCTCTGAAGGCTCAGCTGCCCCACTGCGTCTCCCGGATCCGAGGCACGAGCCCTACCTGGGAAGACCCTTGGTCTCCCCCAGATTCGTCTTGGCACACTCCGGGGGCTGGCTTAGCACCTCAGGGCTGTGGAAGCCCCCGCAGCCTCCTGCTCCACGTCCCCCAGTCCACGTGCGCCCCCTACCGCCGTTAAGCCGCGGCTGGCCACCCTGCAAGGGCAACCTCTCCCACACAGTACCTGGTGCTTGGGGGGTCCCGGCTATTCGGTTACCCACCCTGCAGAATCTCATGCACTCACAAGGTTTTGACTGCCACCTGACACATCTCCAGTCCTTTCCCCCTCCCCCTTGAGCCACCTGCCTGAGGGGCGTCTCCAAACCTCGGACATATCTCTTAAAATAGTTCCTTCTGGGCCGGCCGGTGGCTCACTTGGGAGAGCGGTGCTGACAACAGCAAGTCGAGGGTTAAGATCCCTTTACCGGTCATCTGTTATAAAATAATAATAATAATTCCTTCTTCCCCCAAACTGTGCTCCCCATTCTCTCTCAGATAATAGCATCACTACTGAGGTTAGATACTGAACCTTCCTCTCAACAAATATTGATTAGGCACCTGCCATGATTCTCCCTCTCCACTCCACCGCCCAAACACCAGTACAGACATATCTTCTAAATATTTATGTCATCTGTCCATCTGTGTCCTGCAACTGCAGTTCATCCATCCCTGATCCTATCACATTGAGCTATAGGAAAGGTAAATCTGACCTTGGTCATCTGACCTCTGTTAAAATCCTTCAGAAACTCTTTGGCATTTGTCCTGCAGCATAACGTTCAAGTTCCCCAGCGTGACCCACCACAGGTTCCTCCGCCCAGCTTCTTCCTCCCTCTAGTGGCTGTTTGGCCTGCCTGGTCCTAGATGCTAGTCCGTGACTAGGTCCTAGTCACGTGGAATTATTTATGGCCTGCACCTGCTGTTCTCTCACCTCTGGCCCTCAACATAGTCCCTTCTGGGACAGAACCTCTGGGAAGCACTCCCGTTAATACCCTTCACTACCTTTGTCCATTGATTGCATCGTTTTATAATTATCTATTCATCTGTTTGTCTCTCCCTTTTCTCATTGACTATAAACTCTTTGGAAGCAGGAACAGGATCTTATTCGACTTTGTATAACCAGCCCTTACTACAGAAGTAAGCACAAAGCAGATGCACAAGGTGAGTTTGTGGAATGAAAACATGAACAGATGAAAAGGGGTGGGAGGTCCCAGGTTCTAGGACAAAAGATTCGAAGTTGAGAGAATGATGGTAATGCCAATAATAATTACCCTTTATTGAGAGCTACAGATTTACTAGGTGCTTTACCTCCATTGTATCATTTAATCCCCACAATAACCCTGGGCAATGGTCATTATCTCCTTTTTTCAGATTAAAAAACTGATGCTTTAGGTAACTTTTCCAAAGTCACAAAGCAAGATGTCAGAGCTAGGATTTGAACCCATTTCTACTTGAATGAAATTCTATTTTAATTTTTTTCCCAGTCTCTTTGTCATGAGTGTGAAAGCCCCAACACCAGCTCAGTTGGCAAATCATAAAGAAAGAAAATTACTAAAATACTAGAAGAAAATGTAGAAGATTATTTCACTGATTTTAGGGTAGAGAAGACCTTTCTACTAAAGACAAGATGAAACCCAGAAGTCATTAAGAGAAAGACTGTCTAAATTAAAAATTTAAACTTCTAAAGAGAAAAAGAAAAGAAAAAAGCTATAAGAAGCATTAAAAGACCAGTCACAAACTGGGCAAAGAATTAACATCCGTGATATATAAAAGGCACTTATAAGTCAATCAGAAAAAGATGAACAGCTCAGTGGAAAATAGGGGAAGAGTATAACCAGATAATCTACAGGAAAATATACAAATAGCTATTAAAAATATAAAAAGAAAAAAAAAGATGTAAAAAGAAGCTCAACCTTAGAATAATCATAGAAATAAAAGACAAAAAAAATCATAGAAATTCAAATTGTAACGGGATATAAGTTTTGAGGGTTAAAAAACAAAAACAAAAAAATTATTTGTACAAATAATAAGGATTTTAACTTCTTAAGAAGCTTTAACATGTATTACTTTATTTTTATTGTGCTAAAATAAGGAGATGCCATTTTTAACCTATCAGATTGGGTGTGAAGAAATGGATACTCCCATGTTTTGTGAGAATATAAACCCATATAACTTTTTTGGAGGACAATTTGGAGAAAGTACAGAAATGTCTAATGTTCTCACCCTATAACTCAACAATTCTACTTCTAGGAATCTAGAAGTTACTTTCACATGATGGAAGCCCATATAGTCATTTTTTATAAAAAGAGGTAGCTTTATATTTACTGACATCAAAAGATATCTAGGATATACTGTTAAGTAGAAAAGAAAGTTGTGGAACAGTGTGCTTATTATACTCTTTTGTTTCTGCTTAAAATATTTGTTTATGGTCAAGGGTTTGGATTTCCCATACAAAAAAATAAAAAAGAAAATAAAATATTTGTTTATATGTGCACAGAAAAACATCTGAAAGGAAGCACCTCAACTGTTAATGAGATCTCTGAGCACTGGGACAGAAGGGTTAACCCCCCTTTCTTTTCTGACTAGGTATTACATTATGCAAGCAAAGAATTCAAATAAGACCAGAAGGCATTCAGTAAAAAGTCTTGCCTCTCCCTCCTCCCCAAGACTACCTCTGGGGAGATGAAAAATCTCAGTTTTACTTTGTACATGTCTGTAATGTTAGTGCTTTATATCTTTTAAAAAAAACGTTGCTTTTTATAATTTTTTTTTCAAAAGTCAATCTAGTGAGACAAGTAAAAAAAAAAAGAATGTATTTACTGTAGAAAATTTGCAAATTATACAAAAATTTAAGAAGAAAATAAAGGGCCGGTTTGTGGTTCACTTGGGAGAGTGTGGTGCTGATAACACCAAGTCAAGGGTTAAGATCCCCTTACCAGTCATCTTTTAAAAAAAAAAAAGAAGAAAATAAATATCAACCACAATCTCATCTCCCAGGAAAAACTACTATTTGATGCCTTTCCTTCGAATCTTTTTTTATGCGCATACATTTTTTTTTTTTTTTTTTTTTTTTTTTTTTTTTTTTTTTTT